AAGTCTCATCTTACTGAGTTCACCTCTGGTCTTAGATACTTACTAATTGTGATCATGGGCAAGTCATTTATCCTTGTTTACCTCAGTTTCTTCATATGTAAAATAAACTGGAGAAGGAAATAGCAAACCATTCCAGTATCTCTGCCAAGAAAACCCTAAATTGGGTCAGGAAGATTCAGACTTGACTGAAAACGACTCACCAACAAGAGATTATAAGAAACAGAGGTAGGAAAAGAGTACACCCAAGCTATGAGAGATAGACCTTGTGGTGCTTAAGATTCTCATAGGGAGAGATAATATATATTGGAGAATTGGAAGCCAGGGAAGATTGTTTTGGTTTGGATCGACACAGGGATAATGAGTGGAGCCATAGTTAATTGCCATAACCTTTCCAGTAGCAATGGTAGTATTGCTTTGATTATGGTTTCTTGAGAAAGAGGTAGAAGAGGAGTTAGAATTTCACGGAGCAGAAAGGAAGATGACAAGACGATGAATGTGATGGAATGTAAAGCAAAGGTGAAGCCAGCTATATTTGGTAGCCCCGGGAGTTCACTTTTACCCGCAGTGTTTACAACTCTTGGCACACACTTAATACTTTGTTATACATTCATGCTCACCCCACATCCAATCAATTGCTAAATCTTATCATTTCCACCTCCACGATATCCCTCAATCTGTTACTTTCTCTCAACTCACGTGGTCACCATAGTCTTGGTCCTATAGCCTCCACAACCTTATTTAACCCCATATCACCCCTTACATAAGCTATTTCTATAACCTCCTCGCTGGGCTCCTTGTCCCATCCACATAATCTATTGCTAAAGAGAAGTCTGATCCTGTCGTTCCCTTGCTCAGGGATCCAGTTCATACAGCACCAAAATCAAACTTCTTTGGCATTTCAAGCCCTTCCCCATCTAGCTCAACCTTGACCTCCAAAGAGTATCATAGCACTCCTTAACTTAACTGGGTATCAGCCTGGCAAAGTGGAAGGCAAGCAGATTTTCTAGTACCACCTTGACTACTCAATGTTTGAGTGACCTTGGGCAAATTATTTTACTCTTCTGAAGATTAATAAACCCAGGGACTGGGCATTAGTATCTCCTGCTGGCTTCTTGCTGGATTGGCATAGTTAGAATTAAATTCCCCACATCCCTGCCTTCTTTCTTCACTCCTTATTAGTCAGTTTAAAAGTACCCTTATTTCATTAGCCCCAGTTATGCTACTATCTTCCACTGCGGATAATAGAGCATTTTCCCATTGGTGATTGAGACCTGAAGGTCTCCAGGTTTTTGACCAAACTGAATAAGCCATTGTATGTTTCCACATGTGAAATCCACCCCACTGGATGCTGCCTTTAGGTAGGGGGGCAGGGGAATGGGAGCTGCACACCGGAACAACTCCCTGTTAGCACCTGTTTCCCTTGCCTTGTGAGTTGTAATAAAGTCTGACTGACCGCTATGCCTGTGTGACTCTGCTGCTTTGCATATGAACTCTTCTGCACCACAATCCATATCTGTAAACTGGAGATAATTAAACTCATGGTAGCTACCTGACCAGATTATTTGTAGGAAAGCATTGGGCACACTTGAAAGTACCATTGAGACAGTAACAATTATTATTACTAGAAAGTGTTTTTATTGATCCCTCAGAATGCAATACTCATCACTCTATTAATCTCCTGCAAAAAGTGCCCACATGAGCCAGAATGCCAGGGAACTCGTGCTATCTCTCTTTATCCTCAGGTGAAGAAGCCTAAGATATGCTTGGCCCATGTTACAGCAGGTGCTACATGTGTGGTCAGAAGCTTGGCCCATGTTACAGCAGGTGCTACATGTGTGGTCAGAAGCTATTGATAACTGTTAGACTTCTTGGTATGGGCAACTTTGGATGAGAACTGTAATTTACTGCCACAAAATTGGAACAGTATGTAGCTTTTCTTTAATTTTGATTTGATTATTTACAACAAGCTGTTCTAATGGCAAGTAGAGCAAAATTTTGTTTCCATTGTGACTCTACTCAAGTTGCCTCAATTAAGCAGTGCATCTCATCTCCCCTTAGTGAGGGAAGCAGGAGAGGAAACTGCAGTCTTTGGCACATGTTACAGCAGGAGGCCACATGTGTCTCACCTGTTGAAGGGGATGACTGTAGTTTTCCCTAACATTAAGCTACAAAAGTCTCCAGGTTTATCATCTCAGTTTCCTTCCTTCCTTCCTTTCCTTCCTTCCTTCCTTCCTTCCTTCCTTCCTTCCTTCCTTCCTTCCTTCCTTCCTTCCTTCCTTCCTTCCTTCCTTCCTTCCTTCCTTCTTTCCTTTCCTTCCCTTCCCTTTTCTTCCTTTCTTCTTCCTTCATCTCTTTCTTTCTTTCTCCTTCCTTCCCCTTCTCTCTTCCTCCCTCCCTCTCTCTTCTTCCTTCTTTCCTTCCTTTCTCTCTCCCTGTCCCTCTCCCTCTCCTTCTCCCTCTACTTCTCCTTCTCCCTCTCCTTCTCCCTCTACTTCTCCTTCTCCCTCTCATCTCCCTCTCTCTCCTCCTTTCTTGCTTTCTCATCACTATACTTCATTTTAGCCTCTTGCATCATGCAGCTGACTTGTTCACACAGGAAGCCATTCCTGAAAGCATCTTAACATATTGTTTCCAATTAATTTACTCTGCCTGATCTGTCTTCTTTACTAGTCACCTGCATTGGTGCCCAAAGCAGATGTCCACATTGACTTCTTGGTCAGCACATTCTCCAGTGTAAATTGGGCACTGTTCTCCATCTCAGATGCCTAACGTGTTTGTATCCATCTTTGTGGGAAATTTTCATATAATCATCCTGAGGAAAGTATTAGAGCCAGATGCCAAAAGCCATACAGTATTGGATGGGTCCTATAGAGCAAAAGAAAAACCGCTGGAGATGGTAGAGATGTCACAACCAACACCAGTACAGTTACAAGTTGGGCAAGATAACCTCAGAGGTTCCTTCTAACACTGAGATTCCATGATGCTTTTGTACAGTTTACTTTTCACTGGTCTGTTCTGGCATGCTTCTAATGATATCAGAATCACCTGGATCAATGATAGCCAGGGTACATACTCTGTAGTACTCCCCCATATGCTGTACCCAATTCAATGTTATTGCCACTGTAGTGATGTATGCTAGTTTTGGCCAACATAGCATAATATGCAATCTCTGATTTCTTCAAGGCTGGGCAGTTGTTGGCTAAGATGACTAATTTGGCTTTGCCTTGTGTGATCATTTTCAGGATCTGTTTGTAGCCTAGCATATATTTGCTGCTTTCATAACCAGCTGGAGCCTCGAGTTGATGGACTCTAGTGAATTTTTCATCTTCTTTGCAGCCACCATCTTCCTGACTGTGGTACGAGAGGACCCTCAGCCAGAGACCTGTCACCAAGATCCATGATGCATTCTTTAGTGTAGGCACTGTCTATCCAGGCATCCATTCGTCATACATGCCTTCAAAATAGAGCATGTCCTTCTGCACAGAGCCACAATTACAGGAGAAGAACTTCAATGTCTAGCATTTCTAGCACGACATGCTTCAATGGATCTGTGAACTCAATGATTCAGGAATCCTCTCAGAAGTGCCAGACTGTGGCCATAAAACTCCAGAGTGTTGGAGAACTAGATTAAAATGTAATTGGGAAATGTTTAACAAAACATAATATGATATAGATGATGTTCATTTGTGATATTCTAAGTCATGTTGGGGCCAGAAAGGATCCTTTTCTATTTGAGTTTGACATCAATAATCCACAATGGTTCAGATCACAAACCATACATGTAATTTCATTCTATGTGATACTTGCCCAAATCCTTCCATAAATTCTTGAACAATGATCTACTAAACAAGTTAGAGACCTTCCTCTAAAACTTTTCAGAATAATAGCTTGCGTTTATATGATGATTTAGAGCTTGCAAAGCATTTTAGATACATGATTTTCACAATAACCTGCAAGATAGTTAAGACAGACATTTACGTTTACATTTACATATGAGAAAAGTGAGGCGTAGGGGGGTTAAATGTATGGCCTGTGGCTGCACAACTAAGCAAGTAACAGAGTTAAGATTCACTCTGAGCTCTCCTCAACCCCAAGTGGAGCACTGTACTCATTTCTCCACGCTTTTGAAAAATGTCTTTCCACCTACAGTTACTTTATAAGAATCAACATTTCCATAGCTTCCCTTAAGTACCTGTTTGTCAAAAAAAAATACCAAAACAAAACACAACAAAACAATGGGGCATTTTATCTTGGGATCAATCTATTACACAATGCAGAAGGGAAACAAGACCTTAAAATGTCAATACTTAATAACTTTGTAGTGGATACAGTGCTGCCTTTCACAGGAAGAAATGAGTTCAAATTCCATTTCTGATACTTTTTGGCTATATGATCATAAGCAAATCAGGTAGTCCCTCTGAGCCTCAGGCACCCTCTTAAAACCAATCCACTAAATTATAGCTAGGTCGCAACATGCACTGGTGGAGTTTCCTTGATACATGGGTGACTTTTATCCATACAGAATATGACTCAGTAAAGAGTGCCAGGCCTGGAGTCAGGAACTCATCTTTCTGAGTTCAAATCCAGCCTCATGCACTTACTAGCTGTGTAACCCTGGGAAAGTCAGTTAACCTTGTTTGCCTCAGTTTCCTCACCTGTAGAGTGGACTGGAGAAGGAAATGGCAAACTACTCCAGTATCTTTGTCAAGAAAACTCCAAATGGGGTCACAAAGAGTTGGACATGACTGAAACCCTAGCCAACATTGAAATCCCATTTATTTGATGCTGATTTTATGTCTAATGGATGTGGCTTGTGATTAACATCCAATAACTTATTCAAAGTGATGGTGAATCTACAGAATCATCCAATTTCAAAACTGGAAAGAACCTTAGAGATCACCTATTCTACCCTTTCTTTTTACAGATAAGAACCTGCTGCCCAGAAGGATGAATGAAGCCACTTGCTCAAGATGACACAAGCAATAAGTGGAATTGAACCTGTATCTTAAGTCTCCAATCCTAGTAACCTTTCCACTACACTGGACTGCCTGCCTTGGACTTCATGCCAAAGCAAAGTTATATAACAGTATTGAATGGAATGTCCCACTGAAGATTTCTCAGTGCAATTAAGATTTGGGATAAGACTGGTAATGAGTTCAGAGGGTAGGATAGGGTTAAGTATAGATTTTTGTAAGTTTTTTTAGTGCCATATGTCAGTAGTTAAAATTTGTCTAGTTGTTAAGCCTTAGCCTGCTTTTTAATCTCATTTAGATGTGCCTTTGCCCCTAAAAAGAATCTGGCTCCAGGAAACCCTTAAAAGGTTCCTTATCTACTCCCCTTATCTCCCTTTGAAAGGACCTTACTCAGATGCCTTCCAGTTCCCTCCACTGTCTATCCCCATTGTCTATTCAATCTCTCAGACCTTCCAAAACAGTTGTAAACCATCTTTCTGCCATGGTGGCCTGGCTAGGACAGCTAGTGGGAGGGGGAATTTACTTGCTAGGGCTATCTAACCTGGCTTTCTGTTTCTGTGTCTTTGTCTCCCTTCATCAGATCATACTGGTGGAGGGACACCCAAATCTCAAGATTTGAAATAATAATAATAAATTAACTTTCTGTTTCTCCTTGGACACCTCTGTGTTTGTTTGTTTTTTAATTTGAGTGGCATCCCACACAGTATTAAATATACCTAAATAAAATGTCTTAAATTCAATCTGGTTTATCTGAAAGTAGTCACAGAAAGGCAATAATGTCATTGACTGCTTTTTTCCCCTCAGATTTGGTCCTAATAACTTTGGTGTCCAGTAAAAGCACAGACACAATAGCTACTAATAGTTCCAGAGGAGCAAAACTGATTTGATGTCAATAAACCATGTGTTACAAGCTGTTCGATCATTATCACAGTTGACCTCATCATCTTCCATTAGGGACTTTGGAGATAAGACACCAGCTGGACAGACTTTCTCTCATGCAATTTCTCCAAATTGTACACATGTATTTTACACAATAGCATATAATAACTAAAAAAAGCTGCCTCCATTCCCTTAATTTGTCAGCAACTCTCTTGTTTATTATCAATGCCCTAGACAGGAGGTTTGTGGGACAGCTCTGATTAGAAAATGAAAGGAGACTTTAATATAGCTATAAAACCAGTGATTGACCTGACATTTAGCTGGTTTCACAGAATACCCTGTTTTCTTTTCAGTTTGATCATACGTATTAGAGTCAGAAGACTTAAGAATAAGTGGCTCTAATATCATCACACAACTATAGGTAAGTAGCCTCCCTCAGTTTCAGTTTCACTTTCCTCATCTGTAATTCAAGGGATGAATGTTTTCATTAAAGTTGGTACCCATTTCCAATTGAGTAAATTGAAACACACCCATTCTTTCTTATCTTATGCAATTCTTGTTTGTGTCCTTTTATAAATCCTCTATAAGGTATCTGTAAAATATTCCAGAGGCCTTCCTCTCAGTGTTTTACCCAATACAGAGCATGGTCTGTCCATATGTTATCCCACCCTCTTGATATAAGATAAAAATCACCTTATATCTAGTATGTATTTCATATAAACATTTGCATCTTCATGTCTTGATAGAATGTAAGCTCCCTTAGGGTTAACACTGTTTCATTTTTATCATGGTATCCACAGTACCTAGCACATACTGGGCATTTAATAAATGCTTGTTGTTGTTATTGTTGACAAACCAGCTTCTTTTCCTTTTGTTTTCTGAGTGATGTCATTTACAAGGAGAGGTAATGCCTTGTTGTGGACAGAAAGCTAAACTTGGAGTCAGAAAACCAGGGTTCTAGTAATACCTCTGAGATCTATTGTCTGAGTGACTCTGGACAAGATAACGAAACTCTCAGGGTCCCAGGCAACTCTAAGATTATAAGTTGCAGAAAAGATGTTTACCTGCATTTGTAGAAATTCACTACATCAGTGAAATAATAAATCATAAATCCAGTTTTAAAAAAGTATTGGTAGAAATTACTGTGATATGCACAGAGTAATTAGTTATGTACTTCATAATCACTGAAACAACCCCAAATTTTCATTCTTGACTCACTAGTCAGGGTGGGGGAGTTGCAATGCTCTTTGTTGCCCATCTCCACTTCCAGGTTCTTCACCTACCACCATCACTTAATGATCTTTCCTCCACTGAATTTCACACAATCCATATCTATCACCCAATCAAAATCCCAGCAGCTATTATCTACAGACCTCCAAGACATATCCCTTTTTCATTGAGTTCAGTGCCTGACTCGCAATCCTTCTTTCCTTCATAACTTCTAAGCTCAAGCTAGGGGACTTCAACATACATATTCATTCTCTCTCAAAATGTTACTCCTAAGGGGGCCTGGAAGAGATCAAGAGAGTCAAGAGTAAAGCCCCAAGAGGAATGGAGGAGTGACTATGGCTGGTCTTGGCACTTAAAATGGAGGTTATTGGAGGAACTGACCAATCAGAGGAAGGGGCCAGGAAGCAGACATTTATTCCATGGTGAAAAGGCTGTGGGACTATGGTATGGAAAAAAGTCCAGAGGCAGGAGTGAAGCACAGAAGAGAATGGAGATATATTTTATAAACAAAAATTGTTCAGCCATTTCCCGATGAATGGATTCCTACTTTGTTTCTAAAATTTTGTTACCGAAACATATGCCATTATGAGTATATTGGCATATATAGGTCCTTTCTGCCTTGGGCTCTTTGCATCCTGAGTCTTTTTCCTAACTCTAGCACTAATTTTATCCAGTCTTCAGGAATAAAACAACTCTGTACTCTTACATCTTTTTTAAAAAATTGGGATGATAATATTCCACTTCATTGTTAGTCCACTAGGAAATATAGTTCTTGGAGGTGATTTTTAAAAGAAATGCCTATTTAATGAACAGAAGAAATTATGATTACCTACCAATCACTACTTAAGAAAACAAATCTATGTTTAATATTTGGTTGGGCTGAAAAAACTTCATTTGAAGTTTGAAAAAACTTCATTCTGTGTAATCAAATCACATTTTCAGAGGATTCATTCTCCTTTTTCTTCTTGAAATTGAAAATGTTCTAGGTATACTCTAACACTACTTGCTACTGAGCAGATTTTAACATAAAGTAGACCCGTCTTGGATGTCACATGAGGTCATTGATTCATTAAAAAATTACCAAGCAATTAGGGCAGCTAGGTAGTGCAGTGGATAGAGCACTGGCCCTGGAGTCAGGAGGACCTGAATTTAAATCTGGCCTCATACACATAACACTCACTAGCTGTGTGATTCTGGGCAAGTCACTTAACCCCAACTGCCTCACCAAAAACCAAAAACAAACAAATAAAATTATCAAGCAAGCACTTTTATGCACAAGTTACCATGCAGTGGAAGAAATGAAAAAGAAAAAGACAACTTTATTTACAGTGTCCCTAGAAATTAATTGACTCTCTCAAATAATATCAGGTAAAATGTTTAATGACAGCAAAAAATAATTACAAAAATACCAAACAGACATTGTTGGAAGGCATTACCATGTTCAAGACCTAAAGAAGTGTTACATTTAGGATTCAGCTCATTGTAACAGAAAATTGAGTCTTTCTAAAGCTTAAATTTTTTTGCAAGGATGGATTGTTTTTCATGGGTCTTCTTTAAAATTCTGATCGGGCAGCCCCTTTTTCTATGAGAAATAGGTAGGATTTAATTTATGGTTTCACTGATGAAAAGCAAGAGTTGAGTTTTAATAAAAAGTACATTTGAACATGGCTCATAACTCAATAAATGGGGCACACACGGCACTTAGATTTGCTCTTAATGCTTATTGACTTTCATGGAGTCCTGTATCCCAGCAGCCAGAAGATTCCACCCCATCACTCTTCTTCCCCTCTTTGCTCTTCCTCCCATTCCAATAGAAAATCTTTAAAGTTTATTATTTTAAACTCAATAGTTTTAGATGAAAAATCAGACTGAAGTACATGGCTTCTCATTGTTTTCCCCAATATATCATGGGTCAAATGATACCCCCAAGACGTAAAAAGTGAAAATTCTACATAACAGAATTAGCCTATTCTACAGCTATTGTTCATGCACCTTGTATTATGAAGAGATTTCCCCTTTAATCTAATTAGATACCATTATGACTCTGTGTTACTAATTTTAAATGGGAAACCTCATAACACTTTATATTTGGAAGAGACTTTATAGTACAAACCTCTCATTTTAATTCAGGGAAAACTGAGGTCCAGAGGCATAAAAGTATTTGCTCTTGGTCACACACCTTATGGTAGAATGGATTTCAAAAGCCGGGTCTATTGCCTGATCTTTGAATCATGCGACAATTCTTCCATGTTTTTCTGCTTGAATTTGAATCTATTTTTTCCCCACAATAGATAGTAATGTTTTTAAGTCTCCCAACAACTAGAAATTATGTGATTCTCCCATAGTTGTGAATAATTGTACAATTAAGTCCAATGGCAAAGGCAAAGGCATTGTATGCCAAGATGATAAAATTACCTGTGTGAGAATATGACCTTTGACTTATGAAACCCCAAAGAATTTTACAAAAATATATTTTTCCAAACAAGTAAGAATTAGATTAAATACTAAAACAAAGATGTAAACAATATGTTCTAAGTATTAGTTAGAGTTTTGCTAACAGTTATATGGCAGCATGGAGGCAGGGAAAGGATGAGAGGTGAAGGGAAAAAGGAGGAGGGGAGGGAAATAGAGAGAGGAGGGAGAGAGACAGAAAGAGAGAGAGAGAGAGTGTGTGTGTGTGAGAGAGAGAGAGAGAGAGAGAGAGAGAGAGAGAGAGAGAGAGAGAGAGAGAGAATTGATACAAATGGTTATTCTCTCAAAGTCTGTGTTATAAGTAGAAAGAGTGCTGAAAGGCTATTCCTAAATTCTCACTCTGCCACTTATTGTTTGACTTTGGGCACGTCACTTAGTCATTCTTCATCACTATTTCCTCATCTTTAAAATGTATAAGAGGGGGCAGCTAGGTGGCAGCTAGGTGGCCCAGTGGATAGAGCACTGGCCCTGAAGTCAGGAGTATCTGAGTTCAAATCCGGTCTCAGACCAAACACTTGACACTTACCAGCTGTGTGACCCTGGGAAAGTCACTTAACCCCAACTGCCTTAAAAAAAAAGCAAAAAAAATTAGTAAATAATTAATTAATAAATTAATAAAATGTATAAGGGGTAGAGTTGGTGAAAGCTTGGGAAATGAAAGATTTGTTCTTTTTGTCTTTCAGCTTTGAGAGAATATGCACAAAGCCTGTGAGATGGGAAACCATCTGGCACAACTGAGCAGAACCCAGCCCCTGCCTATATCACCTGTCCCTCTTCAGCTTTCCAGAGCTGCCCTGCTGCTTGCAGTGAAAATGGAATCTATGCTCCTACCAGTGGGAACCAAAGAGAGTAAGAACTAGGAGAGGCCTCTTAAAGGGTCATCATGGCTTCCTCTTATCTTATGCCATTGCCTAAAGACAAGTGTGCTGGAGACCCTCTGATAACCCCTTTGAGTGTATCTCTTCTCATCTCTTCCCAGTCCTAATTTGGAGATTTCTAAAGTGATGCTGGTTACTGCTTGGGTTTGGGGATAGATGATGCCCTGATCTCTCATTGCCTCTGCTTTTCCCAGCACGTTCATGAGGTATCTAAAATTAATCTACTATGATCTTCCCTTAAACATCTTTGGCAATTTTCTGCATATGAGGTAAAATCTCAAAGTTGTTTTGATTTGTAGTTTTCTTATTAGTGATATGGAGGAAACTTTTATATAGTGGTTAATAGTTTGCAACTTTTATAGTTTTATATAGTTTGAAACTTTTATGTAGTTGTTAATAGTTTACAGTTCTTTTGGGAAATGTTTATTTATACCTTTTGACTTTACATATTAGTGAATAGTTCTTAGTCTTATAAAACTGTGTTAATTTTAGATATTTGCCCTTATGGGGGATTTTTAATGCAAAGATTTTTTTCTAATTGACACTTTTCCTTCTTATGTTATCTGTATTAATTTTGTTAAAGGAAAAGATTGTCAGCTTCAAGTAATCACAATTATTTTATTTTTTGAGATGATCTCTATCTCTTATCTAAAATTCTCCCTACCAGTCATAGCTAATCTTATTCTCTTTTGGCATTGTTATGGGTTTACCTTTAATATTCAGGCTGCACATCCATTTTGACTTTATTTTGGTATATGCAATAAGACGTTAGATTAAACCTAATTTCTGACAAGGTGATTTCTAGTTTTTTCAGTAGTGAGAATGGGGTTACAGGTGGGAAGGTGACCTGTTAAAAAATATCGTCACCTAGGGATGTTTATATACTTATGTGAAGGGGTTTCTACTCCAGCCTGGAACATTTTGCACAAGTCAGTCCTAATTGGTGTAGAGAATGAATGCTGCCTCAATTTTGAATGGTAGTGTGAGGGGCAGAGTTAGTGAATGAGCCTTGAAGAGCAGACATTCTTGATTCCTTCTTCAAAAGAGTTTCAGACTCTCTTGGGGACCAATTACAGGGAAGAGAAAGAAAAAGTGTCTCTTGAAGACATGCAGGGGAATTCATATCTCTTTAGAGACTTCAGGTTATCTCTCCTTCACTAAGACTGAAGTCTCTCTTGATTGAACAAGATCTCATTTCATTCTTATCTAAAGAACTCTTATTTTTGTTTATTTTCTAGTGTATTCTAATCTGTAAAACTTTTGTGTTTATGTTTGCTATTTGCCTAAATAAATAGTTTACTCTCTATTTAGTATTTGTGATAGTCTTATATGTATCTAGCCTTTCATGAGAAAGAAACCAGAAGTTGTCACTTAGGTTACTCTCTCTCCTTCAGAAATAGTAATCAGACATGTATATATTTTTAACAAATCATGCCCCTAGACCAGCAATATTGGGGGATTGGAGAGGAATATAACTGTAATTCTAGTCTGGTACCCTCTCTCTCAGAGAACAGAGTGGCCAGCCTCATAGCTCTTTCTCTAAAGACCAACTTTCTGGGAAATGACTGTTTTAGATGTTACTACACACACACACACACACACACACACACACACACACACACAGAGTTAATTTAACCAAGTAATTGCTATTAAAGCTGTAACATGTAATGTTGGCTATTATGTGAAAATAAAGACACCCTACCAGGGAAATATGACAAAATCTCAGTTAAGTGAAATGTTCAAGTTACACAGATTTTCTGAAAACTGAAAATTAAGCAAATACACATTTTTTGTCTTAACCCTTGCTGTTACTAAAAAAATTCTAAAATGTCTTAGGCCATGGTCTTTCTTTAATCAGTGAAGCAGAATGAATATGCTTCATTTTTCCTTTAATATTTAATGATCTTGCAGTACCTCATGATCGTGACTCTGAACATCAATCATGATAGTACAGAAAGGGAAGACGTTCGTGCATTGTGGAGAGAGTAGACTAGCCTGAGAACTTGAGTCCAAAATTTGATGTTGGCTTTGCCACTAATTACTTGTGTGACCCCTGATGGAGTCATTTAATCTGCAATAAAACTGGGTTTAAGAATCAGAGGACCTGAGCAAATGATCAGTGGAGACATTTCCCTTTTCTGGGCTTGAGGGACAGAGGGAGAAGGTCCCTTCTAACTTTAAAACTGTGATGATGATGATGATGATGATGATGTCGAAAAAGACCTAAGCATAGTTGTTACCACAATCAAAGAGATAAGGCATTTGGACCTGTCTAGGAATGAAGGCAGCAGCTACAGCCAATATCCTGAATGAGAGAGAGCACCAGCAGCAGATTAAAATGGGAAGAGGCAGAGCCTACCAGTTGACATTCCTTAACTGGCCCATTTATAGCACTCGTAGAACAACTTTCTTGAAAAATGTCATGTGAGGAAATAAAGCAGGTAAAACTTATGTGGCCAAGAAGTGTTGTTCCCAGATAACCTGACTGTGCTCCTGTGTGTGTGTGTGTGTGTGTGTGTGTGTGTGTGTGTGTGTGTGTGTGTTTATCCTTGATGAATTCTTGTACTCTGGGTCATACTGCAAATTGCCCATAGTGTTAGTCAACGGGACTACTAAGAGCGTGAGTAGAGAGGTTGACTATATCATAAGATCAGTGACAGCTATGTCCTTATCAAAACCCTTGAAAGCCTTTTCTTGTGTCTGGAATATGTCATTGCTAGAGGTCATGAAACCCTGACAAGGGAAATTAGAACAAATATACACACGTAAATTACATAAACATCTATGTCTTTTTTGCTCATTGGTTGAGACATAACTAAACAAACCATTGTGTGGCGAATATAACAGAATAATGCTGTGCTGAAAGAAATAATGATATGAAGAATTCAGAGAAATGTAAAAAGGCTTATATGAACTGATAAAAAGTGAAATTGATAGAAACAGAAAAAGAATATACACTATAACTAAACAATGTAAATAAAAAGGACAATTAAAAAAACCCCTGAATGCTATGTAATTATAATGACTAATTGTGGCCCCAGAGAAGAGATAAATATCTTGAACAAGCTGTCAGATGGGACTGATATCAATCAATTAATCAATAAATATTTATTAAGTGCCTACTATGTACCAGTAATGATGCTAAGTACTAGCTATTATTGCTGGTTTTCCCAAACTATTTTTTCTTTTTTAATCTTTGTTACAAGAATCATAGGATCAGATAGAAGAGGATAGGATAGAAGAGACCCCAGTGGCTATCTAGTTGATCTTTTCATTTCAGAGATAAGGAAACTGAGGCCTATGGAGCTGAAGTGACTTTCCCAAGGTCACATACATAGTGAATAAAAGAGATATAATTTGAATTGAGATCCTCTAACTCCCCCAGTGCTCCTATTGCACGTCCTGTTGAGTATACATGTCACATTTGTCTAACCTCCTTAAAGGAAAAAAAATTCATTTTGGATTTTTAAATGTCTCTCATATGCAAGGCACACTAAAACCTCACTGTTGAACTGAATTCCTTGAACATTTAAAAATTTTCTCAAATACCTTTGCCATTGTGTCAATTTTATGCAAGATTTCTATTGATATTTGCTTTTAAACGAAACAAACAAGTTCCTCTCTTATGTATGTGCAAATGTAAGATGTCAATTAAATATGGTACTTGGAAACAATAACTTTTAAAAAGGACTTCTAATGGGGGTGACAGATGCATGAAACCAACAAACACACTCTCCCTCCCCTGCCCCCACCTCCAGACTGAGCAAGGAACAGAGAGATGGTACCACTAGGGTGACTCTCACAGGTGATATCATCCCAGAAAAATGATTCACATTTTTTAGTTCTTTAAGATATGCAAAATGATATATACATATATATATATATATATATATATATATATACACACACACTTACATACACACATCACATATGTATACATATGTATATATGTATACACACATGTGTGTTAATGTATGTGTATATGTTTGTGTGTATAAAATGAAAGCCTTTCAAAATAATTGAAAATCATGTCAAATTCTCTTTTTTAACTACTCCAAAAATAGAAGGCCCTTTAAAGACCTTATAATAAGACCAATCTTTGAATTCTGTATTGTAATCTGTAATATCAGATTGTTATCAATGTTTTGATATTGATCACAATGACAGATAAATTCCAACCATTCTTCTTAAAAGTATGTTAACCAAATCTCAACTCTATCAAAAGTTTTAACAAAATTTATTTTGGAGAAGTTAAAGGTAAGATGGTTCTGATGACGGCTGAAGAGACACTTTATGCTATAACTATGACAATCTAATCAGTAATAGATACTTGCACTCCACCCCAAAATTTGGTACAGAAGTGTCAGGCCCTCATATATTTGTCAATGGTACTTGAGGATAATCTATAAGAAGGTAGCAGAACACAGCTAACTGCTAGAATATAAAATTTCAGTTTTTCAGAAGAAAAAAAAATATGTAGCAGACATAATTAATTTAGCTAATTATCCAGCTATCCAAAGCATTCAATAGTTAACTTGGTGATCTGAAATTCTTGAATTTTTGTCCACCTTTTCCATTTACATAAAAATGCCAAATATCTTGATTATGTTTAGTGAATGGAGATGGTGTCACTAAGGCAATCCTCACAGATGACATCATCCCAGCAAAATAATTCATTTATATAGCTCTTTAAGATATGAAAAGTATTTTACATATATGTGTATATATGCAAAGTACTTTATATACATATGGATATTTATATGAAAGAAGTGGTAAGTTCTTAAGCCTAATAAGGTATCTACACATATATGTATATATGCATATCATGTATATATGTATATGACATATACATATATCAAACATATAGATATACTATATATGCATACATATATACATATATTGTATACACATATATGATATCTAATATTATATAGAAACCTTCACAAATATACCA